AGGAAAAGCTACCACTGTGGTGATCATCTATAAATTAACATCACACAGTTTTAAACTATACAACACGTTCCATTGGCATTGTGACGGATTCTGTGAGCTGGTGTGTGTTTGGTAAAGTTTCCCGTTGGTGTGTGTGCTGTAATCCAGTGTTTTTCAACCCCTGGTCCTCGGTACACTAGTGTGCCGTAGAAAATCATCCTATTTCACCTAACTGGTCTAAAAAGATTTTTTGATAAGGAATTAATTATCTGCAAATAATTTTTGAGTGTCTGTGCTGTAGTATTGACTGGTGGAGTAATCATGTAATAATTCCTTATAACTATATTTTGTATATAATTTTGCATATTGAAGTGGACATGTTAAGTGCAATTTGAAAGAAGAAATATAAAATATGATAAAAATAATTTTTTGTGTTTATTTGATTCCTATTCAAGACACTTAGGATAAAATAAGAATAAGATAAGAATAACTATAGTGTTATTATAGGCGGATACAGATTTGTTTGACATTTTTGGTTGGTGTGCCTCCTGATTTTTTCTATGAAAAAATGTACCTTGGCTCAAAAAAGGTTGAAATACACTGCTGTAATCCACCTGTGTGAGGGCCACCTGACGTCAGCTTAAATCTCTGCTGTTGTTCAGAGGGGGCCAGGTGCTAATGATGCGGTTTCTCAGCGGGTTTGTAACTAATCAAAACAAATATAAAGGGCTAGCAACAAAGCAGACAGAGTTAGACTCAGACTCAGACTTTATTGATCCCTTGAAGACTCCCCCAGAAATTAACCCTATAAAGCCAAATGTGTCATATCTGATCCGGTTTCTTTTGGATGTGAGACTTTCTGCATCATTCAGTGGTAAAAGCTTTGCTCAAACCCCTGTTGTACACATTCAGATATACCTGATAACAGCCAGTAGAAGACCACACCAACATAGATTTCTGACTTATTGCACGCTAATTTGATCAAAATCATTTCTGTTTTTTTTCTTCATATGTTGTTGATGGGCCAAAGAAAGACTTCAGACTAAAAAAATCCAATATTCTTCCTATTTTTCTTGGATCAGGCTTTGAAGGGTTAAGCAGATGGAACAATAATAAGTAGTGATATAGCTGTGGATAAACAGTTATTTCTAAGGTTTTCATGTACTAGTAACTCTAACTCTAACCCTAACTACTGATAGAAATATAGTATCTATTTATAAAATGGATATATTTCGCCCTATAATGGCATATGTGTCATAGTTGATCAAAATCATTTCTGTTTTTTTTCTTCATATGTTGTTGAGGGGCCAAAGAAAGACTTCAGACTAAAAAAATCCAATATTCTTCCTATTTTTCTTGGATCAGGCTTTAAAGGGTTAAAGGCCTGAGTGCTTAATGGTGTCTCATCCATCTATCTGTCTTCTTCAGAATCTGGAGAAGTCCCCAGGCCAGTGTTAACCCCATTCTTTAGTTGGAAACCTGAGAATAAACCATAGTAGTTTAGCTC